AGATGTTTTTTTAATGGAGGAATATCCTAAAAACATCTTGTAAAAAAAAAAAAAAAAAAAAAAAAAAAAAAAAACTTAATTTTACACAATCCCTCCACCTGTGACTGCAGTGTTTGCCTCACCTGTGTTGTACGCTGTGGGTATGGCGGAGAAGGGCAGACCCTGTGCCAGGAGGCTCGGTGTGGCTACAGACACCACAGGTGTGGTGAGGGTTTGTGCCACCTGGGCTCCAGCCGCCAGCCGCTGGGCGTTCTGCCAAAGAGCGAAACAACATCAGCAAGAATAAAAACCAGCAACAACTTCGTCTGCGAGCCCGTTTCAGTACTGTTTTGTTTGTTTGTTTTTATTCGGACATGCTGGGAATGACAGATGCACACATGGCTGGATTCAGAATGATGTTCCACACCGAGGAAACCTCTCAGTGCGTTCTTGATGACATGCATCAAAAACAAACTCCTTGGTTTGAATAAGACATGTAAGAGAATTACATCACAGGCAATTTATTCAACCTCTGGTAATCTTATTACTGCGTAACATTAACAATGCGCAACATTAAAATAACTAAACTAGTTCATGATGTAAATATAGTAACGAGGGCTAGGCAATATGAGTGAAAAACTTAACACAATATAAATCGATATCAATAATTATTGATTTGTTTTAAATATCTGAAATGCTGTCAAACTGGTAGTGTGATCTTTATTCTTTTTTCCAGTTTTCACAAAACGCCATTGTTTCTTATTTTTAAGCAGTTATGAGGCACAGTGACAAAACCTTAAATTGCTGCTGCTGTCAGTTACTCAACATGTTGTTGCTAGGTAACCAAAGAAGGAGTGAGTTGCTAGGTAACCAGAGTCAGTTAGTTGATTCCACCACATTTTGTTTGCTTTATTTTAATAATCAGTTATGTTATTTTACGCCCAAAGAATCGCTATTAAGCCTTACAACCAATTAACCACAGAAGATGATATTTATTGCTCTGCTTACCGCTTGAATTTTCAATGAATGTGAAGAAAAAAAACCTTTGAAATATTACGCCCATTACAATAACTTTTCTATACATTCGTTTTAAAACTATATCTTGAGAAGCGTCATCAAAATCACATGATTTGTGGAGTTTTTTTGTAATGTACTGTTACTGCTTGTAATTCTATTTTTATGTATCAACAGGATTTTGACCCGTTTCCTGGCCTACATTTATTGTATAAATCATGTGGCGTGACCAATTAAAAAGAGTAAATGTATTGAATTCAAAATAGACTATCCAGTATCAGGAGCATAAATATTAATCACTAATAATACAGTATCTTCAAGTGATTGAAGATTGCTTTATTTGTTATCACAGTTTGATGAAATGGTGAAGACAAACAGTGATCAAGTCAATTATAAATGGAATTTCACATTTCTTTGGGGGGGAAAAGTGTCATAATTGCCAGAAAAATACAAAGAAATGTAAAAACTTTGTTTCTAAACACTTTAAATAAATGGAAATTTATAAAAAAAAATGTTTAGTATGGAAAATACCTTATTTTACGATAAATCATGACATTTTTTAAGGCCACATCATATTAATAAAAAAAAAACAACCTCTGAAACGGTCTCATTTTAATGTTAAACTATGATTTCTGTGTGCGCAACATTTCAAATGTTCTAGTAACTAGTAATTACACTGGATATACATATTTTAATTTAGCCTGGTGGAAATCCTTGTACGTCAATGACCCATGTCCAAATCTTCTGCTCCCAAACTGGTCGAAAAGAGCTCAAATTTACCTCGGATAAAAAGCAAACTGGAGCTCTTTTTAAACACTTCCGCATATAAAACGTCTTGCTATAAAAGGCAAAAGATTCTGTGGATTTTCCCTGGAATTACGTTCGAGTGTGAAAAGAACCATTCATCAAGAGTTTTGAATTACACTAAACGTACAAAAGGAGCAGAGACAGACCTCAAAGAGGAGAAAGATTTAATTATCTTCCTTTGTGAGGAAGAAGAGCGAGAGCGCCAGCAGACTGAAAGTGATGAAAATTAATCACCATCTTCTGGAAAATGAGAATCTTGCCTGTCGACTTTAAGACGAATTGTTGAAGGGGGAAGAGGACAGCCACCAGAAGCAGCCATTACTCCTCTAAAAACACATTTATCTTAATAACTATTATTATCTTATTTTGTTGCAAGCATTGTGAAGGGCATGCATTCTGAAAGGTTCAGTTTTCCACAGCTTATTGTGGAAAAAGTTAATTTTTTTAAGTGTATTAAAACACTTAATAGTTGTAAAAACCTGCTATTTTTTACAACTGTTGTTTTTTTACACTTTATATTTTAGGGATGAAATGAATAATTGTGATTAATTTTTGAAAAAATTGTCAACTTGTTAATCATTAAGTAGAGCATACAAACTCAAAAACACCGTCAGAGAAGTAATTAAGCCAAAACTGTACAAAAAATAGATACATTTTGCATTTAAGATTAAAAAAAAACCTTGAAAATACGTTTTACCCAGAAGACCTACAGTTCAAATTATGTAAAGAATGATTTATGAAAGAAACTGAAGTATTTGTTTATTTGCGTCTTTTAAGGTATTTCTAATATTGTACGAAAAAGCTTTAATGGCTAAATGAAACATCTAAAAAGTGATGCTATTTTTAAATCTAATTAATCATCAGAACAATTGATTGAATAATTGATTACTATGACAATAATTAGTTGCAGCCGTAACATATTTAAACGTAGTGTGCACCGTCTTTCATCATTATACCTTCATGTGTTTCTGTGCGTTTCCATTTGTCACTTTGACGCTGATACACTGAATTTCCTCACTTAGGCACAAATATTTGGATATTTCCATTTTATTCTGGAAGTTATAAATTATCTCTTTGTCATAAACTTTTAATAGAAGTGAAGCAATGATAATTAAAAGGTAAAAATGCTAAAGATGCTACTGCAGTATTGGGTAAAATTGTAAGTCCTTTCCTCTGGATTTAAATCTGCAACTGAAAGGGTGAAAACTAAAATTGTTTGCATGACCTAAACTCTTAATCTGGTATCTGAATTTCTAACTTCTCTGCATTTATCAGGTGTAAAATATGAAACAAAGTGCATCTAAAAACTAGCAATTAAAGATAATTTCAAGCCTGACTGTTGCTGGTTGATGTAAGCAGACAACTAAATCCTATTTATGATTGATTTTATAACCATTTTCTATCCTAAAGGTATTTTAAGTTTTTTATTCATCTCTAAAGATAATCTAAAGTTGCATGCTTTGCGTTGGCCATGAAAGCTCAAATTTGGAGTTTTCATTGGTTAAATGCCTTTAATGTAATTCAAAGTAGTTATTAAAAATCTCAAACATTGTGCCGGATAGTGGAAATGAAAGTGTGAGGCCGTCGGTGAACACTGAAACATGCTCTGTGGCGCGTCGCACCACAACGCAAAGTGAGAACAACACCCATGCTTTAGATAACCACCATACAGAGCAATGAAGCGAGTCCAGCTCAAACCTGCAGGAAAGCACTCGGATATTTCTGCTACGGCACCGTCAGCGAGATTAACGTGGAGGGCTCAGTTCTAGATTATCTCCAAAAACTAAAAAACAAATGCTGGAATAAGACATCCACGCACCCTGACCCACATGCAGTCAGTCAAACTGAACACCATCTCAAAGGAAATGTCGGTGAAAACAAAACTGAAACAAGAAGAAACTCCTGCAGAGTCCTGCACTCATGCTGACAGCTGACTGGCATCGACTCATGCGAGTGACTGATGTATGTGTTTAGGAGTGGGGGGGGAGGGGGGGAATCACCTCGTTTACCAATTCCAGCTCATCCTCTGTCTGCAAGGAGTTGTAACAGAGAGGGTTATAACTCTGGAGTGACTGAATAAAACCATGAAAACAAAGCCGGAACTTGTACTAGTTCATCGGTTGGTTTGCAAAGTTCAATAGTTTTCTCAGACCTGGATTAAACTGCAACAGCTAGCAAGAAACTAAAGACAATAAAAATATTTGGAAACAGTTAAAATTATTGATCAAAGGTTTCTTTAAGAATCGCACTAAACCTGAGAATCTAAGTAATGTTATAATAGTCCATGTTAAAGATTATAACCTAGTTTTTTCTTTTCTTTACACTTTAACTTCACATTAAACTAAAATACTTGAAGCAATTATTAAAGCCTAATGAAGTCGTGGTTCATTCCTTCATAAAATTTTTGACTAGATTCTACATCTTTAGAGTATTAGAACAGATTTTTCATTATTGTGTCTGATGTTTGTTTTAAAACTTATGTTCACTCAAATTATCTCAACTAGGCAGCTTGATTATTGTAAAAACAAAAATCTGAAGAAAATCCTCTGACGCTGAAGAAGCAAGGTGAGAAATAAACAAGATTCTGGATAAATATTTTAGACCCTTCAGTCAAAGTTTTGATAATCAAACAGCTTGATAAAAAAGATCAGATTTATCAGTAGCAAAGCGTCAAGCATTCAGGCTTTGGATGAGAAGATAAATTAAGATTTCCTGATTCTTTTGATGGGTTCAATCCAACTATAAAACATGAAGCAGTTTGGTCCCCATTCATTTATTTCACCCCAGGATTGAGATGTTTACCCAGCTCCTGTAAAGTTGGGGGCATTTTGGCAACAAAAAAATATGACTTCTGGATCGTTTTGTCTTCTAAGTAAAGATATGGGAACTTAGAAAATGTTGATAAAATGTTTCTAACTTTTACAGCACCTCACCTATGAGATGAAAACAATATAAATGAACTAAAAAAGACAGTTTCAATACACTATTACGTGATCTTGATCCATCAATACTTCTACAGGGACAACTAAAATACAGAAAAACTTTATATTTTGAAAAGTCTTTACACTTAACTGATCCAAGAACAAAACACTAACCGAACAAAAAAATCCCGCAATTTCAATAACTTTAAGGTATAAAATATAATCGGATCAATTCGGAATAATAAATATTTATTACACTGAAACAATCCAGCTAGATGACCAAATTAAATGCTTAAACATAATAAACACGAAAGTTACAAAAATATCTTGCTAAGTTTTCTGGCATTAAGTAAATAGAAATAATTTTGGTAATTCTAACAGGCCTAAAAAAAAAAAAAAGAAACGTTCAGTCTGATTTAACTTCACAGAAAACGAAATGTGTGTCTTTTCTCTAAGTGTATAAAATATCTGATTTCAACTGTAAATAACATTTTATTTGAAGAGAAGTGCATGAGATTGACATGAGACATTAACATAAAGGAGTCTTTATAAATGTTTGACTGTTGTCGTGATGTGTTATTCTGTAAACGACATTTTTAAAGCAACTCTGCATTAAAAATGTCATTTACAGAATGACACTTCATGACAGCAGCCATAAACATTCATAAAGACTCCTTCTTGTTTATCACAGTTGTTATGTCAATCTTATGAATACCCTTCATATAAAATGTTATTGTAATATTTTCCAAATTTAGGCTTTTAGATTTAATACAGGGTGTCCAAAATGTGACCTGGGGGCTATTTGCAGCCCTAGAAACAACTTTGGGTGGGCCTTAAACAGAAATTCAAGAATAGTATAAATGTGTAGTTTTCCATTTCAGGCAGAAAATACAGATTTGAAAGTAATGTTTCAGAAAAACACAGACAATATCAGATCTTAAAATGAAAAATATAAAGGTAGAGCACAAGTTTTTTTCTTTTAATATGATATATTTCATTTGTAAAAACAGCTTTACTAAAATGCAGATTTCCCCATTTCATAAAATTTTCAAAATAAATCAAGAGTGAGCAAAAAAAAGACACAAAAAATGTTGAAAAATGTGACGAGCCTAAGAACTGCCTGTTCTTATTTTTTTAATCTGACAAACCTACAAAATGATTTTAAATCTAGAATAATTTATCCACAGTAGCTAAATTATGTGACTGCTATTATGTTTACTTTCAAGTAAAAATGAAAACATAAAATAGTTTTTGCAAAAACAAAAATACTAAAAAGTTTAACATTATCGGCCCCCATGCCAGAAAGTTTGGACACCCCTGACTTATGATCAAAACTGTGCTGTTTGAATATGAAGCACTTTCAAGTACAAACTTTGGAAAAACCAAATTGAAATTTAAATTACTCCAAGGTTTTCAAGCCCCTTGTGACAGCAACTGGTAACTTCTTGGGTCCAACAAAAACCTGGTGCGTTTGTGAGCAATCATGAAAAGAACTGAGGGGTCAGAAACGTTAAACCGAAGCTGAACTTGGCTGATCTCACCATCTGCATGAGGCTCTTCCCGCCCTGCGAGGTGATGACTCGCAGGTCCGGTTTACGGCTGTTGACCATCTGCGGGCTGGGAGGGGGCGGCGGGGACTTGGCCGGAACTACTTTCCCCAGGCTGTTGCCGTTGGAGACGGTGAGCAGACCTGGGGAGGCCCTGGCGCTGGTGTATCCATTAGCTGCAGGGGAGACGGAGGTGCGAATGCATGGTGATCAATAGGGAAAGATCAGACAGACAGTAGGGGTACAGAGTTTCGTTGTTAAGTAATCCTCTAAAAAACGTCTCGACCCTGAGGGAGAAACCTGAAGACAGATAATTCAGAGGGAGGCTACTGTTGTGATTTATTGGACACATTTCACTTATTTAGTCCTTAAATTTGTCTTTAAATTAGATATGTTCTTAAATAATACAATTCCTCCTTTTACAAGTCAATCATGATCAGCCAAATGTAGCTTTTTTGACAAAAAGACAAACCTTTGATGTCAAAATGAAAACTGACTTTTACAAAATCATAACAGAACATAAAATAAAACATAATAAGTGATAAATATTGAGTGTGTTTCAAGTGATTGTACTATAAAGACACCTGAAAACCATGACAACATAAAGACAAAATACAAGCAAATGAGGAGTGCACCGATTGCAGTTTTCTGGCCGATCGTCGATTACCAATCTGACCAGCTGATTCAGATTTTGAATTCAGATTTTCTTTTGTCTGATATGTTGCTAAATAAAACAAGAAAGTCTTTGAGTTGGTAACAGTAGGGCAACTATTGTTAACTGCAAACGTGCAAGCATGACACATCAGGCACATCTGGTTTACATTCAAAGTCTACGTGAAGGCGCGTCGAGGGAAGCATTTGACGAGTCCGACAAATAAGCCGGCAACAGAAAACAACGCCTAGAGCGATTTTTGCTCTAGCCGTTTTTGCTCTGGGAAATTTTGCTCTGATGCGCCCTCAACATGCCTCCACACAGACTTTAACTCGCGACACGTGTTTGGTGTAGAACAAAATGTCAAGCGTCTGCACAGACGTCGACCTTGACGCGTTGAACGCGTTTGGTGTGAACGCACCGTTAGTTTGGTTGTTTCCATCAGCAGGAGAAGTTTGGACAACATTTATTCCCCAGCAAGACAACAAACCAAAGCATCCAGCTAAAGCTACACAGAAATGTTTTGGATGTTTTGGAGTGGCCCAGTCAAAGCCCAGACCTCAATATGAACTGTTCACAAATGATCCCCACCAACAGTACAGTGTTTGAACAGTTTACAAGGAATAATGGAGTAAAACTGAGGTAACTGTGGCCAGGCTGTTACTGCAACCAAAATACAGACTTGAAAGAGGTGAATATTTAAGTAATCATTTAGTATATATTACATATTTTTATTTAATTGTCAATATTTTATAGAAATCAGTTTTCACTTTGACATTAAAGGCTATTTTCCTTTTTTTCGTACAAAAAAGCCACATTTTGTTGATCATGACTGATTTGTAAATGAAAAAAGAAAGAGATAAAACATCAATAGGGGAAATGCTATTTATAGATCGGTGTATGATTGTGCTTCACTTTTAGAATAAATATCTCATAAGTCAAAAGTGAACACTGAACCTTCAGAGAATCCCACTAATTGGCATCCAATCCCAGGTGGAGCAACAGAGGAATAATTACTTAATTATTCCACAAAATAAGGGAAACTGTAAAAAAAAAGAATGCTACAACTTTGGTTTTGTAAAAAATTTAATAAATTACTTACAGACTGGACTTGGACATCCTCCGTTTGAATTATTCAGGTCGCCTCCGAGGAGAGCACCTATTAAATAAAGAAAAAAATACAATGAATCCATGCAATTTTGACTTTTTAGCAGAAACAAACTCTAAATTGAATTCTTAAGCTTAGTTTTCTTCCCAAGTTTAAACTCTGTGATTAAGCTTCACTTTAAGCTTGAACTTAAAACAACTTGCATCTGTTTTCAAAGGGATGACACAATCTACACACTACAAAATAAACACACAATTCCCTTACACATTTTTAGGCATTATGCATCTCAACTAAAACAAATAAGTGACAATTTATCAGCTAGCAAGATAAAAAACCATGGAAAGGATAAATTAATGCAAATCATGTTTACTCTACTGGCTGCGGTATCTTGTAAAGTTGCTCTAATAATAGTAGTCCCCATTTTAAAGTGTTCATTTAATTATTTTATTGCCTAGCATTAAATAAAACGTTCACTCTATGTGCAGATCACTGGGGATTTAGCAGGCAGATTATTTTCTGTGGAGTTTGCACAAATTTCTTTTCCTCATATTTCATAGGACAGTGAAGCATTTGGCACTGAGGTATTTGAATATGCATTTATCAATAAATATATATATACTGTTTAAATTCATGATTTACTACATGTTAAACTGTTTAAATTCATGATTTACTACATGTTAAACTGTTTAAATTCATGATTTACTACATGTTTAACTGCTTAAATTTATGATTTTGAGAGGGAAATTTGTTAAAAATTCACTCCTAACCAGATAATTTGGGTTGATACTGCTAAACACACAAACCACATTATTGGGAAAACAAGTGTATTATTTTTATGCATTTGGCCTTTCATCCACATAAAACCTGTTTAATATCACTAAAAATGATTATTTATAAAAACTCCAACCAATGTGGAAATTTGAGAAAACTGTTTGTGTTTGCATTACTGTCTGCAGCAAATAATGCGCTAGAAATCCAAAAACTTGCTCCAGCATGAATCCCAATCGACATTATCTTGTATTTTTATAACTTTATATTCAAATGTGTCATTTAAAAGTAGTTTAACTTTTATATCTGTCCAACCGAATCTCCTGGCACCATGTTTAAATGCTAACAGGAAGTCGTGGTTGTTTTGAAGCAATGTGATTGGCTGACATTGCTATGCTGCCCCCTAGGGGTCTGGCATGTTTAAAACAACGCTCATGTTGATGAAAAGTTTTCTGAAAACAATTCACTGTTTATGATAGTATTTCTTTGTTTTTATATTTGTTTTTATAAAGAGCTGGCTACATGTGTACAATGTCCAAGCAGAACACAGATTAGCTTATTTTCCAAAATTATTACATATTTATAATTTCATTTCAAATAAGTTTTGAGAATTAGATTTATGAAAGTGTAAGATAAAGAGTAATTTACCCACAGCCAGATATTTTATACAGTTAAAATCTCTGTCCAAAAATGTAAGAATAAATCCTACTTTGGCATGAAAAAAAAGTTTAAGGAAACAGGATATAATTTTGTAAATTAGACGAATTGTTACTTTCAAAACTTAAATCAATATTTAACATTTCCCCTGCGCTGCAATGAACCCTGCCTGTTTTAAAACCTAGTTAGACAGAAACAAAACTACCAAAAGTAAAAAAACAACAACAACAAAAAAAACATGCTGGTTTTGAATGTTACACAGACTGACCAGATAGTTTTGGGTTCTCTCATTCATATACATCTTTAGCTCCTTCTCACTTAAAAAAGCATAATAGAACCACGATCCAGAAACAAAGACTTCGCATTATTAGATATAAAATAAAGTATATCTAATAATTTAATCGGATGCATCACCTAACAGCAGTGATTAAGAACTATTACCCATTATAATAAAAACAGTAAAAGCTGCTGCAGATCATCTCCTGCCTCTTTGTGCTGCATCTCGCTGCATGCTCACCTGCACTGGCCGGTCGCTGTGGCAACCCCGGAGACACTGTATTTCTCTGGAGAGCCGGTTGCTGTGGCGACAGGAGGTGGGTATCCGTGAGCGATGATGATGTGACATAGGAGGTAGTTACCAGTGCGCTGCCAGGATTACTGAAGTGCAGTGTGCTCTGATTGGACGCCTGGACGGTGACTGGCATAGAGAAGGTCTGAGGCGGAGCCGCCGTCTGCTGCAGGACGACATTCTCACTTAGACAACAACTTGCAACACATTAAATAACAAGCATACGTCATACATAGCTTTAAAGTGTAAGGTATTACTTTATTTATTCATCCACTTTTAGCTGGTATATCAGGGTTTCCTCTAAAGTATTATAAGCCTGGCGGGTCACCAAGCTTTACTTGAGCCACTGCCAGGCTAAACATTGTTTATTTCAGTTTCTTTTTAAATTTCTGCTTCTTTTATTTATTTTTTTAAGACTTTATAGTTGGTGTTTAGGTTTTAAAGAATAAAACATAATTATCAAGTGACATTTTCAAATTTCCTGTCAACTTTAAACATTTTCTAACTCCCCTACTGCCAGGCTTAGCAGGTTTCCTGAGGGAAACCCTGTATGAGATTATCAATATATGAAATTTTTTAAAATAAAAATGACAGTTTCATTGTGTAACAAGCAAAAAAGATGCTTGCATGATTAACTGTTGGTTTACTTAAATATTTAATGCTACAACTTATGCTAATAGAACCACGATTAATTAATCTGATTAATCATGAATTGTGATTAATCCGATTAATCGGATTAATCACAATTAATCACAGATTATTTCAATTTTTGAAATAATCTGCAACTAATTTAGTAATTGATTAATCGTTAACGAGAGCATACAAACTCAAAAAAGGGCCATTTTCTGAACACAGTCAGAACAGTTAAGCCAAAACTGTATAAAAAAATAAGATACATTTTGCATTTAAGATTAAAAAAAAATTAATTATGTTCAACCAGAACAACTCAAACCCCATAGTTTTAACTTTATACAGTTTAAACTCTGTTAAAAAAATATTACTTTTAAAAGGAATGATGTTACTTGCATCTTTTAAGGTTTTACTAATATTGTCCTAAAATGATTTAGTAATTAAATGGAAAATTTGCAGAATGTGTAAATTATTTAATCTGATTAATCATCAGAATAATCGATTACAACAGTCGTTAATTGCAGCCCTAAAACAGTATTACAATTACTACAGTGCCAATATTGGTATCTTCATTTCTGATTTTGACACAGATTAAAGACATAATGTCAAATAAAACTGTGCTAATTGTGCAGAATATTTATCTTGTTTGTGACGTTTTTGTGTCTTTTTTTATCTTTCTTGGAAGCCAGAGAAAACTGTAATCATCTTCTTCCAGTTGGTTCGCAACATTACCTTATGTGCCAAAATGTGGTTCAAATGCCTTTAAAACAAAGGAAAGTGATGAAAGAAAATCTTATTAAAAATAAAAAGAAAATATGTATCATTTTCTGAATGATAAACGTGTAATGAGATTAAAACATCTAAACCTCTTGCTGAGGTCAGCACATTAAAATAAGTCAGTCTACCCCAATAATGTTTGATTTATTTCTCCATTACAACAGACTCTTAGAGATCCTTAAAATATTTAATATTTTTAACTTCTACTTCCACATCCATTTTAATTTTGGATGATTATTTTTGTTATTTCCATGAAAGAACATAAAAATCTTATTTGAAAGGGAGAAAACTGAACTTTGAGATTGCAACAATACAAATATCAAACATCAAAGAGTGGGTTAAAATCTTTGAATGTATAAAGTTAAACTCTGACTGCTTAAAGATCTCTTGAGAGAATAATTTAAAATTAATGCCGCCTATCTTTCACAAATCAAAAGGAATAATAAGAAGAGTAAACCCTTACGCCGTAGCGTTTGAAGAGGACGTCCAGATCTTCCGTGGTTTTACGAAACTTGTCGTCATTCAGAGGACTTTGGTCAATTGAGTCTTCGCCGTCCGGCTCTGGACTGTCGCAGCCGTTGAAACCTTTCTTTCTCAAAGTCTAGAAACCAAATCAGGGAGAGAAACAATATTCAATGGACCAGCAATAAGATAAGCTATAGACTCTATGAGTGCTTAGAAATAGTTTAGCAAACATGAATATCCCAAATGACTTCGAGTTAGGCTGCTGTAGGAGTTTTATTTTGAAGGGGACAAACTCTAGTAACAGGAAGTAGCATGTTGTGGTCATTAGCTTGTAAGCTAAAACCTGCAACTTTGAAAAATTGAGTCGGTGTGTAATTATTAAACAGAGCAGCAGCTACAGCATCCGCCATGTTTACATTTATCTTGTCAATTCTCTGCGATCTGTCATCAGCATGATGAAAACGTCAGACGAAATGAGACCCTACAGTTCACAGTGACGTCACTTTAGACATCAGATACCGGATTGCATATTAAAAGTAACCTGAGTGATTTGAAAATAAATGGATTGTCATTAAATAAATAAAAATAAAAAAATCTAATTTTGATCACAAGTGGGCAAAACAAGTCGATTTTTGCCACGTTTACCTGCAGTGTAAATATTGAAAGGTAATAAATAAAACAAGTTCCTCATTTCTGACATAACTGCACGTCATATTTTAAATTACTAGCAAACAGGTGTATTTAGCTCTACTAAAGGCCCACAGGTCACATATTCTGTTGTACAAAACATTTATATTTGTTTCAATATCATCAGTTTGGCAGGAAAATCATAATATATGGGTTTATTTGAGGTCTGACCTGCCATTTCCAACTTTAACCTCCATCCATCCATCCATTTTCTGTACACCCTTGTCCCTAGTGGGGTCAGGACCAACTTTAATCTACTATGATTATTTCTTTTTGTGTACTTTAGAAGAGAAAAAAAAATCTTGTGTAGGTTGTTTGAATCTACCAGAAAATGAAGGAATTAATATACTATCCCACTTATGAGTCAAAGAAAATGAATTTTATGGACCTAAATAAACTGATTGATGGATCTAGAAATATATTTTATTTCTCGAGTTTTATTTTTAATGGAACAGAAACTAATTTGAAGCTGGAGCGTGATCTATCCAGGTTAAAACCATTTACCTCTGTGACAGAAAACCCCTCAGGAAGCGGCGGACACGATGAATTTACCTCAATGATGTCTGCGTTGGTCCGGCTCTCGTGCGGCTCGTTGTACTCGGTGTATTTGAGCAGAACCTTGTCCATGTCGGTGCTGGCGTACTGGAACAGCTTGTTGGCGTGGTTGAAGATGATCAGGGCGATCTCACAGTCACACAACACACTCAGCTCGTAGGCCTTCTTCATCAAGCCAAACTTTCGCTTCGTGAATGTGACCTGAGAGAGAACGGAGAAAAACATTAAAATCAAAGAAGCAACTTACACCATTTTTTTAAATTGCTTTAATTGTATGCAGTCACTAATTTAATAAAGCTCACTTTTTTCCTTCTCCAGTTTACATTTCTCTTGGTGGTCAAGTATTTTTTGAAGAATACTCAGTTAGACCAGTCAGCTAACGGATTAAATAAAAGAGCTAAAAGGGATTCCCGCTGGTCGACTTTGTTTAATTTAGGCGTATAAGCACTTTCTCTTACTGTAAACTAAGGCTGGATTATAGAAACTACTTTAAATCCTTTGGTTACCAAAGCAGTAACAAAATGTTCCCCATGTGGGTAGAAACTGCCTGTAGCAAACTACTAATTTGCATTTTTGGTTGTTTTGGGAGTTTTTTTTGGGTAAAAGTAGGGATTCTGAAAGGGACAAAATGATTAGAAATTACTATTTAAGACAGACATAAAGGAACAGACATAAAAAAATCAGAAGACAAAAACTGGTTTTGAGTATTTTCTTACTTAAAGTATGAAAATAAAAAAGCAATGAGTACAAAACCTACATTTCAATCATTAATTAAAAGGATGTTTCCCTTTTTATCAATCTTTGAAAGTCGTAATTGTTATAAATATTTGTTTTATTTATTAAAACCCTTCAAACATACATTCTGTTGGTATATATTGTTTAATTATTTAAAAAAATTAACTTAAAAACACACCATGTTGTAAAATTCTACTTTTTATTTTGTGTTTTCTTTTAGTAGCAAATGACTAGAGCAGAAAATGTATTTTATGTAACTCTATGTTTCCATATTTATATAATACAATGTATATTTTCTAATGGTCTTGTGGCTGAATGATTTTTTATTGATCAATAATTCACAGAGTTTCAGTATTTTAAGCATGGACGGGTTGAATCCCAAGAGAATCAAGACAGAATGTGAATTTACAAACAATTACATAAGAAATTTAATAAATGTTCACTGAGAAAATAAGCTAAATTATCACAAACTACCTCTTCCAAAACAATTGAGTGGAGATGAATAAAACTCTGATTTTACTGTTTACTGTTCTGGATAAATTATTTCTATTATTTTGAAGAAAAATTGAATAAAGTAACAAGAGTTTCAGTCTTAAACTATGTGGAAAGCTTCTTGCTGCAAGCCAGCGAAAGAGCAACAATCGAGTACAATGTTTAACAAAATTAGCCTGAATTTCTGTCAAGAACAGAACGTCTGTGCTTTAAAAATGCAAAAGAAAGAAAAGAAATACAAGCTAGAATTGAGGGCATGTGATACAAGAATCTGGTGGTTTGATGAAAACATAATTCAACTTTTCATCTTTACCAGAAGTAAAAGAAAGAAAGGAAAAGAAATGTGGAAAAGTGAGAGTTTAATCCAAACTGAAAGCCAATCAGAAATGCATCACAGACCAAATCCCTGCTCTGCACAAACCAAGACTCCACAATGCATCTATTATTAAACCACTCAGCAAACTGTTTGCTTTTACAGACAAAACCCAATATTTGTGCAAAGCATTCACACAAATACTGGCGAGAAGTCTTTAAAGCGACTCCAGACTCAAATCTATTCTCAGCAGCTGGCATCTGCTGAAGATAAACATGTGATATCCCAGAATGTCTGAGGTTAACAGGATATTTGTTGTTTTTATTTTTGGGTGGGAGGGGATGCTGTGGATTAGCTGGAACTGGTTTCTTTACTGCCTGAAGTTCTTCAACGGGAGATGAAGATAATACTCAATGGGCTGCACAAAAGTTCAACTCACTATCCAAAAAGCAAAATGCAAAGAACGGAAAATGTTCAATGCACTAATAAATCCTGTTGCTGGTGAGTTTATTTTAACTGATGCAGATATTTTCTGGTCTTATCACAAAAAAAAACAACTACAAGTCAAGACTGATGAGGAGCATTTTCTAACAAAGCGTAAACATTTGGACTCAAAATAAGAATGCTTAAATGTCAAAAAATAAACTCCCATATCATTCAAAAGTGCTGGAGCGGTTTTAATTTTCAGTAGTTTCAGATGAAGAAGCCTGCGTAGAATAATTAATTTGTTTAGTTATCTTCTTTTCACATGCATTAATAATCCATTATTAGTTCTATAGTAATTAAAAATGGTTCATCGCAATAATTTCATCCAGCAAAATTTGTTATTGTGACAGACCTGGCTACAACAAACCTTCACAACTTTCACTGGCATTGAGATTATTGTTTAATTATACTTCATACTTAGCATGACAAATGCTTTGCAATTCCAGTCTGAGAAACTCAGAACTTTAAATCGGTCTGCCAGCAACCAGCCTGTGCACAAGTTGGAGGTGTGGACGCATCACTGAAGCTGAGAAAACTTCAAAACCCAACAAATGTTGACGACTATGTGCATGACATTATGTGTATTAAATTTAGTATTTTTAGCTGCTTGGGGAAAACAGCTTTGTGATCCACATGACCAAGAACCAAACAGCGTCGCGTAAAATTACTTGATGTGCTGCGCAAAGTCAGACCCCGCAACATTTGCTAATGTTAAGCCTGCGTCTACTTTTAAATGTGATTCTCTGACCTTAATTTGCAGTAATGAAAAGCAGTGGTTGAAACTTTATCCTACAAAACTTGATATTCTCAAAACTAGACAAACAAAACAGAAAATCTGATTATTATTAATTTTTTATAGCATTTATAGCTTTGTGACTTCAGGCCATCTGTTGTGACTTTCAGACGCAAAACGGAAAAACGAAGAGGAACGCTTTGTAACAAATTTTGCTACCACCATGACATGCTAGCTCAGGTGATGGATTTTTTTTTTTTTAGTTTGTTTCTAACATTTTGTAAAACCTCCTAATATTCAAGAAACAAAGAAAAATCTCTCTACAACCCCCAGAAAACAATAAGACACACAAGTCCTTGGCATGAATTTGCAAAACCAAACAAAAGTGCTTAAGTGTCTGAGATAAGAGATGAACTTGGACCGAAGATTCAAGGGATTTGGATTAATTTAACCAAGATAAATTCAAATATCCCAATAATTGTTGCAAATTTTCTAGAATAATTATGCTTTTATAAACACACACCCATCATTACTAATTAAATTCAAACACTTTTGATGAATCATAAAATGACTCAATGTGTGATTTTTAATTTCCAGAGCAGATTAGCAAAACAAACAGAACGCAAAATAACATAAAATCCTTTGTTTCACAGCAGTGACTCACCTGCTTGTTCCTTTCGTCGGTGATCCTTTGGATCTGAATCTTTTTCCTCCCCATTATGCTTTGTAGTCGTGAACACTAATGCTGGAGTCAGTCAAGTGGAAAAGTGTCTCTCTGAAGATGAGTACAGAAGCGAAGCAGAAACACGCTCAAACACAGTCATGCATTTCGAGGACATGCACGCACGCGCATCTCTGTGTCCAGGTGTGGTGAGGCAACACGGTTAACTCTTGCTCTGAAAGGGCAGCGGGAGAGAAGAGCGGCGCTGCAGCGATTTGGGATGTGAAAATGTGGAAGAGGTCCTCAGTTCATCTTTTATTCAGCGGGGACTGATGTGTGCAGCTGCTGCGGCATGGAGGACGTCACTCCTCTCCTGCGTAAACGAAAGAAACAAACATTCACCAAATATCCCTTGAAATGTAAATCATGAGTGTTGAAGCTACGTTACTTTTTTTTTTTTTTAAATATGTTTTTTATAGAGATGCATGATATATTGGCACCTGGGCCGATATTAGCGACCAATTTTTTTTCCCACTTTGTTGCCGTCTGTTTCTGGTAGTTTTATTTTCAAAAGGTGTCAAAGTAGTAGAGAAATGTGTACAAATAAATATCGGTTACTGGCCAAAACAGCAACATTAATATTGGTTATCAATATCAGCCCAAATGTTCATGTTCATATCGGTGCATCCGTAGTTTTTTACGTATTTGTTCAAAGTGTCAGTTTCTTATGAGACAAACAATCTGTGAAATAATCTAATTCCTCTCAGTGCTACTGAAGAAATGCACTAGTCAAAAACAACCAATCAGAGCCAAGGGGAAGGTCTTAGTGCTGTCAATCATCCTTCTGTATGCGCTGCTCAGTGTGCTAATGGCAGAAAACAACTTACTGTCCAAGGAAAATCATTTATCTGGCATCATAATTAGACTGAGGATTCACAAAAGGATCTAGTAGCTGCAGTGTAGCAGAGAGAAAGGGGGAGAGAAGCGGTGCATCCACAAGGGTGATTGTCTTAAGTGTTTTAATTTTAAGTGTTTCTTAAAATTAAATAATATTGAACATCTGTTCACACCGATCAGTCCGTCCAGGATTTTGTGATTGTTTTTGTGTTTTTTTTACAATCAAAATCACAGATTTTGTGGCGCTAATTTAGAAATATTTCTAAGGAATTTTTACAATATTTGCACTAAATAGGACTTTATTAATCGCTGTGTTGGTCATGGACTTTTTGGCCAATTTTGAGAAACATTTGCAGTGAAATCATAAAAAATGTGGGGATCTGTTGATTTTGCATGAATTCAGTTTGGTTGTTGCAGATTTGTGAAAAACTGGAGGGACATACTGAGGTAATTTGGAGTCTAGAGGGCCAAATAAAAAGCTACTGCGGGCCAAATTTGGCCCCCGGGCCTCAAGTTTGTCACATGTGCCTTACTGTCACAACATAGAGATGGTTTCAACAAATATGTGAAAAAATATTTTCATAAAAGTTACATACTGCAGCTTTAGAGTAGTTTATTCATTTATTAAACAGTAATTTATCACATTAGGGTGTGATAATGTACAAAAAAAAATAACAGAGAACTATTGCTCAGTTGAAATAGGATGTGAAAAAGCAAGTGTAATGCACAGATCATGAGGTCAAGGTGCAACGTGAACAATGCGAGGGCCCACCCACTCAGCTTATGTCCTCTTTTTAAAGAAACCCTAATTTTTTATTTGTTTATTAGTTTTATCAGCTAACATGGCACCCACAAAAGCAAAGAGCCTCAAATGATTTTTAATTTGCTCATTTTGCACCAAGTTAATGCGACAGCTGTGAGCACAAAGCCAGAGCTTTAGGTCCTCAAAACCGATATTCTAATGTAACACAGCAGAACTAAATCTGGTGCATAACGAGAAGGAAATCTGATACACATTGTGCAAATCTCCTATGGACGGATTCCAGACAGATATGTTACCGCAACCAAAGCTGTTTCCACTGTTTAAGGTTGTACATTTCTACATAAAGATCGAAGTATTACGCTTCATTATAGTTTAAATCTATTGCTTAGTTCAATAAAGCTGCAGTAAGGATGGTCTCCACCTGACTAAACAAACAGGATATGTAAAATGTAGGAAGACATTTGCATGCACAGCAGGAAAATGAAAATAGATCCAAATGATATGCATATTAATGCTATCTGCGAATAGTGTATAAATATTACCAAAGGGTCAGTGAGCACATTCAGCTTTAAGTAATCTGAACAAAATTGAAACCAGTTACTTTCCTACTGGAGCTCACTAAATGCAGATAAAACATGCAGCTGAGGAAACACATTTAGTTTAGCAAGGAGAGAAAATCTTTACCTGAAAAATCCTGAATTACATTTAGATAAATATAGTTTCTAAAGTTGTGTTTTGCACATTTAAATGGATTCTTAGTACTTAATGTGACTCTTTAAGATGTTAGCATTTTATATACTTGAGGGTCAAACTGCAGGAATTTTAATTAATCACATTTATTTAAAAAAAAATTGATGATGTAATGTCATCAGAGTTCACAAAAAATTCAATCTTTTAACAATTAAATTATTTTTAAAAAGCTGCAGAGGAACAGATTCTGTTTCCTTTCGCTAATTTAAACTTCAGGCAGGTGAGGCGGGAGAAGCAGAGCATGAACTATGGCGTCACATTTCTGCCAAAAACCTTGAGGCGTTTCGGTTTATTCACAAAACGTCTCGTTAGCCTCAGATTAACAACTTCACATCGAGGTTTTTTGATTATTAAGCTGCCTGTGAAAAAGTATTTTTCTATTTGTGTATTTTTTTTCTTGGGCTGAACAACATTAGAAAAACTACTGATATTGATAATATTGGTAAATGTTGTGATAATATCAGGTGTGATATGTGCCTACAAATTGTGTTAGCATAAAAAGTACAAACGCAGAACTGTAATATTGATAAATTATTATTGCATTCAAAACAATCCTTTGAGGTAAGAATATTGAACTCACTCGTATTGCAATGACGATATATTTGTGATATATTGTTCATCCTTAATTTATTCTAAGGATGAACATATCCACGTTTTAGTCACAAATAAACATTGACGAGAGTAAAAACAGTTATTCAAATCAAACAGGCACATTCTGGTAATGGGGGAAAAATTATTTTAGTATATGCTTTAACAAGAAGTTTTTCTTTTTTAATTTCAAGTGAAGAGTTACTCTGTATTCAGCTGCACTTTTCCAACCCGCAGTGATATTTCAATCCCCCTGTGACAGTAATTTAGCTTCACAGCTGGATTAGACATATATTAATCACCATTTCAGCATAAACATTTCATTACACTCAGTCAGGTGCATGGTGGATGTGCTGCATATGGGGTGGCTGGTGTGCTTGATTAAATCCAGCTGAGAGGAGCAGAACCTCTGCTCTTAAATAATGAAACGATGAAACATCCTCAGACGCCAGAACCCAGGTAACTCAGATAATTGCATCTCAGTACTGAACAATATTGTATTGTTAGATTTTCTACAAGCAATACATTTATTTTATTTTTTTTACATGTTTCTGCTAAATTAACAGGTTAGTTGCAGCCTCTAATCAAAGAAAAAAAAAAACAATCCTGAAGGTTAATTATCCTAAATGGATGCCTCAAAATGAGAATGACTACAAATGGATACCAAAGTAAATTAACCAAACTCCATTAAATTATGATATTAAATTATGCCCTTAGTTCATTTATGGATTTATTTTGTAATTATTGGATTAATTTTCTTTCCTTGTAGGAACAAACAAATGGATTAGAGAGCAAATAAATAAACACCACCTCTATTTCAATCAGACCATCAACGTTGCTCATCAGCTCAACCAAAATGTTAAATTAAAGCAACAACTGCAACCAAACCCTCCAACTACACACAATGACACAAAAACTACGGCAACTACAAAAACTCGTAAGTGATGAGTGTGACATTTGACCTTTTGGGCAGCGTCTTCCTGCAATTTTATGGTTTCATTTACTAAATTGAAAGTATAACACTGTGGATGTACATAACAACGACGTGCATAACTTTGTTTTTTTTTTGCAGAACTTTATCCTCTGATCTTTTTATTAACTTTCACTAAATTATATTCTGTTTTACAGCTGAAACAATTGACTATTTAAATCAATTAATCGCTACAGACATATTCAGAGCAGTAATTAGGCCACAGCTATACAAATATAGCTGTGGCTATATTTGTATAACTGTATAGCTATATTTACTTAAGATAAAAATAATTTGTCTGAATATATTTTACCCAAAATTCATCAAGTGGTATTTTTTTATATTAATTTGGTTCAAATTCACTAGAGGAATGTTATTCTTTTGAATTATTGGGAATAAAATTTTTGTTTTCTTATTTTAAAAAAATAATAAATGACCTATTTTAATCTTTAATGTATTTCTGGTGTTTTATACAAAAGGCTTAAGTGGTTGAATGAAAAATCTTAATCCAACTAATCATCAGAATATGGTATTTTAAATATCTGAAGATGAAAAATTAGACTTTTAAGCTTCAGTATCTCCAAAAGAATGACTTAATATCCAGTTTCCCAGTCCAACTCAAACATTTTGAGCTCATTAGTCCATTTGTAATCCGTTTTTCTTCCAGTTTTAACCCTACATGTTCCTGCTTTCCTCTGGGATTGTTGTCAAGTCAGATGGAAAAAATTAAAAGCTGAACCGCGGCACGCATGTGGCATCAAACGTCGCACATTTTACTACAAGTCCAGCTTGAATTTTAATAAGAAATTTACATTTTGAATCCTTAAAAACACCCAAATTATTCCGCTTCCCGCTTATAATAAAGACCCTAGTGTATTCAATTGCCATTAATAATATCAGATGTTATTAGAGCAGCACATTTGGGCTATTTCAGGCATTTACAGTGTTGGACTCTCAGCGGCCCAGTTTTGAGCTTGACTCACTGTGAGTCAGAAACAGTCGCTCACCGCCTGAGGATCAAACATCTCAACTTTTTCTCCCAGTAACAACCCTGCACATTATCAGCACCGCAAGAGATTGGATGAGACCAACCTGAAGCCCCTGCCAGACCCCCATTTCTGATAAACATGATTTATTAAGAAACCAGTTGTTATTTTTGGCCCAACTGGACTGGGTTACCAGACTGGTAACGCCGATCTGTCCCACCTGTTTCCATCATCCGCCCCGTGTTCCTGTCAGCCTGCCAGTCTTTGTGCAACACATTTCAGAAGGTTAAGTTGTTTTAAATGTTTGTTTCAGAGCTGGGCTCGCTCTTCTAGCCCTGCACTATATTTAGAGATATGATGTGGCAACTGGATCAAGTTGCTAAGCAAGTGATAGGGCAGCTGTCGTTAACATTATGACA